CCTTTTTGTAAATTCCATGCTGATTATTCCCAGTAATCATCCTGTCCTTAGTGTGTTTGGAAATGCTTTCTAGGATTATTTGTGCTATCACCTCCCCTGGCCTGTTGTTTCCTTGTCCTTCTTGAGCATCTATTTGCTTTTGTTACTTTTATTTTTATTTATTTATTTATTTAAATTTTCTCAGTCCTTTTCTGGAAAATAAGGCCCATCAAGAGTGGCCTTGCAATGACATTGACCAACTCCCTCGCCACCTGTCTAAATATACCTCAACCCACTCCTCTCCACCCAGGGAAAGTCTTCCTCATTCCCCACTAGTTTGAAGGGTCTGCAATTACTGACAGAGGAGTTGGATCTTATCAGTAAAGACCCAAATGGAGAAGACTTAGAGTATATAAGCCTTCTGCATGTCCTCTGACACCAGGTCCACCACCCAGTTCAGCAGCAGGCTGAAGTTTTCCTTGTTTTGCTGATATGCTTGCAGAAGCCCTTCTTGTTGCTCTTCACCCCAGATTCAACTCCTGCTAGAGACTGGCTTTCCTAAACCCATTCCTGTGTGCTTGGACAGTGTGACTGTATTTCTCCTGCATCATCTTGGTCACCCTAGTTCTATTGCCTGTGTGCTCCCTCTTTATGTTTGACCATGGAGTTCTGTGTAGGCTTTCCTGCCACCTCTGCTTGGCTTGAAATTGCAGGAGGTGATCCTTGAAAATGAGCCAGTTCTCCTGGATCCGTCTTCTCTCCAGGACCAGATACCTTGGGATGCTTCCAAGTAGTTTCCTGAACAGGCCAAAATATGCTCCTGCTGACTGATTCTGGGAAGTGGGAGTGCAGATGTTCTCGGTCCCTAGGTAAGCATTCAAAAAACAAAGCCGAAACTGGAATCTTTTTTCTGAGTTGCCTAGCTGTAGAAGACACTCTGAAACATCGCTAGAAAAGATGACATGGTAGCTGTGTTGCTCTGTGTGTTTCTTCTGGTCATCATGCTGTTATGAGAGTGGGAAACCTTTTCCTAGACCCCTTCACCCTTCAGGACTTCAAATCTTTCTTTGCTTCCTACTGAGAAGTGCTTGTTGACAGCAGAAAGAAAGTAATGGGCTATATAAATAGCCTTCCGTTTAGGTTCCTTAGTTAAGTTGTTGCAGATCCTGTGTGACTTGTTCTAGATTTGATGCAATTTCTATATTTTGAGAATTTCAATCAATTGTTGCTTGCATCTTATTTCTTCAATGCATGAAACCTAAATGGTCTACTTCATAGGCCAGGATGCCAGTTGTGTAAAGAATATGTGATATGAAATGTAAATGAATGATACGAATGGGAAGCTGTAGTCGATGGATTTGCTGTGGGACTTTGAAGTATTTGAATTACTTGTTATGCTGAAGTTCTTCCCTCGGATCCCCTCTTACCTTTGAGCTTATCCTAATTTCTGGGTGCTGCTTTTAACTGATGGTGTATTCTGTAGTTTTCCACACTACTGTCATCAAGAGTATTCCCCAGCAATACATGTCAAAGTGATAAAGATGAAAAAATGAGATGTGTTTTCTTTCAAGGGAAACGCATCAGTTTTCAGGAAGATGTTCTGCCTTCCTTGGTATACCACTGACTGAAGTGGTGTTTGAAGTTTTGGTGAGCCATACAGAAATAAAGAATCTGATTTCTGAGTGTCTGTCAACTATTTCTGAAAGTTCAACACTGTTTGAATGCTGATGCTGTCGTGACTCTAGCCCTTTAAAAAGGACCCAAACGTGTATTAGGCTAGCACAGGGTCTTGAGTCCTGTAGATCCTTTCATGTACGATCCTTTAAAATCTTTTTATGAGGTTTCCAAGCTAACTTTTTGCTCTTATATCCAAGGTTGTTATTCTGGCATTGTTCTTTAGCATAATGTTTTTTTTCTCTCTCTCTCTCTCTCCCTGATGCTTACCTCCTCAATTACCTACAGAACCTTTATTCATGCACTCGGTTTCTTTTGCTAGGCTAAACAAGCCCATCTATCTTGTCTTCCCTGTAAGAACTCAGCAGTTGCTCATTTGTGTACCTGGTTTTCACTATGCATTAATCTTCTCTTTGGCTGCAGGTGACCAGAATTAGAAAGCATTTTGAATGAATCCCTCTATATTTTTCTGCATTATATTACTCTTTCTTTTTTTCTTAAGGGGTGTGTTTCTCGATACATGGGAGAGCTGAGAAACTTCAGTTGCCATAGACTCCTGGTTTTTTTGCTTCCTATCACCTGCATGTGTACATTCAAAAGGACAAACAGTATATATTCCTTCTGGTCTGCCATTGTTGGAAACTTTTCATACTGAGTTCAAGCAACATCTCTCACCAAGTCTCTTACCCCAATAAGAGAGAGAGCGCTCTTCAGTCTAGTAAACAGCTGCATGGTATTACAGTGATGTATACCATGTACTCCTGGGCTACCAAATGCCTGTGCACCAAATCTATTCCAGCACTCAGATGTGCAATTTCCAGTTGTGAATTCATCATCTTTCTCAAGAAAGCAGAAAAGAAATGCAATTGCTGGCTTTTATGTATGTTTTTAAAACATAACTCAGTTGAACCTTATTCATCTCTTCTGCTGTATTTTTTAAGGACTCCTAAACTTCCTTCATCCTTTGCTTTCTAGTTCTGTCTAACAAAACAAGAAAGAAAACATTTCCCATAAAGCTGACCAGTGTTTGTTGTGATTGTGTGAATAACAGAATCTACAAAGAAATATTTGGTGGGAACACATGTATGTTGGGTTTGTACTCGTGGGCACACGTCCATAAGCTGTTTTCACAAGTTATATAAAAGCTTTCACGTTTGTGTTTTTTTTTAATTTTTTTTATTTTTTATTTCTAAATGTGGAATAATTTTTCACTCAAATTATTCTTTGAGTTAATTAGCCAAGTTGCATGGAAACAAATTTCAGGAAATGTTTACTTCTTTGTTTCCACTGAAGTCACAGGCTAGCAGAGCCTCTTAGAAATTTATGTAAGCCATTTCTTTGCAACAGTAATGAAGCAAGTGGTCCAGGTGTAACCCTTAGGTACAGGCAGGTTGGAGGTATCTTTTCCTGAATGGTAACACAGGTGCGCAAGCTTCTGCTGAATTATCAGGCTGCAGTCCATCACTGTGCCTGAGATATGAATGTTCTCTGTTGTTTCCATATCTTGATTGCTTATTGTTCATGGAATGAGAAGGTCATGTTCAGAGCCCTGCAGAGCTTTGTGCTGCCCTGCTTCCTCAAGAAAGGCAGGTCCTTTGCCATCAGTGCGATTCACAGGAGAAGAGTCACAGCCTTTAAACATCAGGGAAACCATTCTGTACTGAATGGGGGAAGGAGAAAATAGCTAAGAGAGAGCTGAATTTCAAATACCTTCTGAATGCAAATTTTGCACCCAACATCTTTTAATACAGTTCTCCGACTCTGGCATCTCCTGGAGACCTGGAGAGGGAAATGTGACAAGGCTGTATATGAGTCAGTACCTGAAACTTTCACACCTGTCAGATTGTGTGATTACTGTTGTAATCTCCTAGATGGTTTTTGGTACTGAAGCCATTGCATGTGTATTTGCTGTGAGAAAATGTGGGATACTGTTGATCAGTTAGATCTGAAAAGGAACAAAATTGATTGTTTGACAAAGCAAATTAGGAGTTGGTTCAAACAGTGTAGTCTGGAACAGATTTACACAGAGCAGGCAGGGACTTCAGTTTTACATAAACTGAGAGTGACAAAAGAGCATGGAGCAGAATGTGCTTTCTCTTGAAGTGATCAGTTTACCACTTGCCAGCTGTATCTAATTTTCTAAAATAATTTAATGTGTGATCTACATCACCCCACCCCCTATCCTCCCTTTGTTTGAATCCAGTAGCCCTTTGTCAAGCAGATCCATTGCTTGAGTGAAATGCAGAAAACCTGTTGGATAAGACTTGTGTATGCATGGGATGTGATAGGGGTGTAAGCATTCTGGTCAAGATCGGTGCTGCTGCTTTAACTAAAATGGACAAAAGTAGCCATTCAACTCAGAATAAGCTAGAGAAATGAGCAGAAGTCAAATTTATGTCCAGACTAAGGGCTCTTGGGGAAGATACATATAAAACTCTATTGACGTGGTGATCTGGTTTTGTAGTGTACTTGGCTCTGGTGAACTGACAGCATTTCTTAAAAGCTCTATATAGTAATCTCACTGTTAACTTGGGATGGGGGGTATTTTGCCCGATGCCTTCAGTTCATTGAAAAGGCCAACTGTGCTGCTTTTCTGTTGCGAGTAGAACTTGGGGTGAAAATTCTCAAATCAAATGTTACATGGAACATTTTTAGTTTTGTGTGTTGTTCCCATAGCTGTATATCATGTGGCTCAGAACTTGTTTGTTTATTTAGTGATTCTCATTCTAATTTTGCTGGGGGCTATTCTTAATGAATGGAAAGCAAAATATCAGAATAGAGCTAAGGGTAAAGATCTGATGACAGCCTGTAGAGTCGTGTTACATTCTGTTTAATAATAGGCACATAGGGCTTAGTCTAGGCTGTTTAAATAAGTGGGAAAATTTATATTATAATCAAACAATATAACCAAACCCCGACCTCTATAGGGGATACAAAAGGCTGTTCTTTGATAAAGTTTGGTAAAAGCAGAATTAACCTGGGTCATTTCAATGAAGACACTTTCAGTAACCATGATACTTGTATAGCTAAGATCGAGTCTACAAAATTCTAGCGGTAAATGAGAATAAAAGACAGACAGCTGTTAAGCATATGGCTTGCATTTTGCCATTGCTCTAGTTGCCTGAGTTGCAGAAAATTAGCTTACATTATTAGTTATCTATCGAATTTGTATATTTTCCTGACTCAGTGTATATGCTGAACTCTTCTTTTTTTTCCCCTCTGTAGAGTATGTTTCATCGATTTCTTTTCATGACTTGCACTGTATTTTAATTTGATAGCAAATGTCTTCAACTAAATGTATTTCTAATGTATCCAGGTGACAAGCACATGTATGTTCTTTCTTTCAGGGGCTGGTGTTTTCTTCCTCTCTTGTGCTGAAGGAGAGCAGATCAGCTTTCTGTTTGACTGTATCGTCCGCGGCATCTCCCCGACGAAAGGCCCTTTTGGTTTGCGTCCAGTGCTACCAGGTTAATATGGGAACTACAGAGTGACTGAGCAAAGTAGGAACTTGCCATGTCTAGCACTTATTGCTCTGATTTTAAGAACAGCTTGCAGACACCAAGGGTGCAGAAAGTGCAAAGCAAAGTGTCCATTCTAAACATGTTATCAGTACAGATTTATCCACCGAATGTACCCAGTTTCACCCTGCTGCTCTGGCTCATTCTGGTGATATTGCTATCTTTGGCCTTCTCTTGTTTAATGGTACTAAAATATGGCAATTTTAAACTTCTACAGTGCAACTTAGATCCATGTCTGAATAAATATTTTTGGTAGTTTAATTAGTTGAAACCAGGAAAACTAACTGGGTATTTTGAATACATCCCAAACATTTGGAAAGCCTTGCTAACCTCAAAAGATACTTTGTCAGGCCTCAGTTTCAGCTTTGCTTTAGACTCTTTTTTTCTTGGAGTGCAAGGGTTAAATTCCTTTTCCTGTTTCATGGTAAGTATTGCATGTACTGTAATGTTAATAAAGCAAATCAGAATCACAGTGAGCCCTGCTGCCTTTTGACTGCAGCAGATCAAAAAAATATAATGTTGAGTTGAAGTGACTGTCAAACAGGGTAAGAGAGTGGAAATGAAACTATAGAAAGTTATCTGGGAATTGGCAATGGGATATAATGGGAATAGAATCCAGGAATTGTGAAGGATGAGGAAGGGTTGGTACGAAATGTTTTGAATTTAAGTGTTAGTTAACAGATGTGTGGCAGAGTTTTATCGCTGCTATAAGATGAAGATAATCGATTTGGGAAGGAAACATGGTGGAAAAGATTAGGTCTAGATGTGAAACATCTTAAAGTGCAAGAAGTTTATTAAGGTAAACACAGTAGATATAAGACTCAGTTTGTCTCCTCTTTCCTGAAATTGCAACACTAAGGTAAACAAAGCAACCGAACAGCAGAGCAGGCAGTAACACCTCATCCTCCTTGCACCACGAGCTGTGTTTGCATAAAGTTAAGAAGAGTATTCAAAAAGCAAAGAAAGAAACAAAAAACCCACAATGAACCTTTCCTCCCCCTCAACACTGCTGATACTTAAAACTTTGGTAGTGAATGTGTGTTCTTCTGCATTTCTAAAACTTTTCCCAAATCTCTGTTTAGCAAAAATGTATAGAAAGTAATTTTTTAAGAAATTTGATTTTTTTTGGTAAGATGATGCATTCTTTTAAAAAGCTTTTTAGGACCATGTCACATAGATGTAAACTTGCTTTTGCATTTTAGCTACCTGTTCAGCTCTGGTGTTCTCCTTTATATATTGTCCCATTCAGAAGCTTGTGCAGACCTGTCTAAGGCACATACACATATACAATACCAGTGATTCATTCATAAACTGACTTTTCTTATCAAGTGTAATGTTACACAGAACATGCTATATTGCTTGAGAAGCTCAAGTCTCTATCAGCTGCGTGCTGTATCTGGCAGGAGTATTGTAATTCAGAGAATATTTTGAAATTGATGTGCTAAAGAAGTCACCCATATATCCCAGATAGCTAGGTGTAAATATCCAGATTGAGGATTCTTCAAAAATATATAATCTGAAAGTGATTTTATTTATGGCAGTGAGGAGTGCTACACAGCCTTAATTGTGCTTTATATATGCAATATTCTGGTTAAAAGCTTTCATAGGGAGAGCCCTTCTCTCTGCAGGCTACCTTTTGAATTTAACTTCTTGCTTTTAACTGTAACTTTCTAACTTAAGCAAGAAATATACTTGAATAACTGCTAAGTAGTCCCAGGAAAGGAAAACGTGGAGAAAATGACTTGGTGTGGTGTGGAAAAAAGTCAGTGTTCTTGGGCTCCAATGCACATAGAATAAATATAATTAAGCAGTCAGCATTTGCTTAGTTAATCTTTACAACAGGATAATGAATGAAGCCAGTGGCTTTGTACGTACAGACACCTGACTTAACAACATGGTTAAATGGTACACAAATATACAGGTATGCAACTAATAGGCAGTATTATCATGATAAAAATAATTCCATTATAGGTACATACGAAATAAAATGAAAATAAAATGGCAAGGAAAAAGAGCATTAGTTGTTTTAAGCACCACCACACAGTGGAACATTTATTTTGGGTGCCCGCTAATTTAGCTTAACTGTACCAAAATACAGTTGGTTTGTTAAAGGCTATGTAATCAGGTCTTAAAGTTAAGACATGATGCTAAGTGGGAATCCAAAGGTAGTGCACATATCTTTAGATGTTTTTAGGCAGTGTTATATTTTAATAAAGACTCTAAAGGAGTGAAAGGAGGTCCTTTGATGGCTTATTTTTCCTAGCTTCTAGTTGAAAAATAATTGTGGTCACTTAGTCTTTTTTTCCCTCCCATCCTTGAGAAGATATTTAGAAAACAAACCATAGAATTCTGTTTTCTTGTATTGTCAGAAGTCTAGATATTGACAGAATACTGAATCACTTATTGCATGGTTTGTAATCTATGCTAAATTTGCATGCATATTATTTGAGAAATGTTTGCTTATCAGGTGTGTGTTGAATTCCTTCTTTTCAATACCGAGATTTATTTTGAATTCCAAACATGAACACAGTGAAAGCTAAACAGTTTATTAGTGATATCTTTTGTTACATGGGAGATCTGTACCCTGTTAATTTGACTAAGGCAGCCTAGTTCTTGCAGGTTGGAAAGACTCCAAGTGTAATGTCAATAGTCTTGATGTTCTTTTTTAATCCTGGAAGCTTTTTCAGGCTGCTTTGTGACTGACTGGAGAATGTGCAGTGCTGCTTGCTGAGGATTTATCTGATGCTCTTTTTTTTTGTCGAAGCTTGATACACCTTCGACCACTGCAAGACAGCTCTATGGCTGCCTTCAGCAGTATCTGTACCAAGTGGATCCTCCTCAAACTTTGAGACACCTTTGTATTCCTCCAGACATCTTACAAGGTGTGGAGATGTTAGCATGAAGGTGAGGGTCCAGGCCTGATTTGCAAATTTGACTACAGTTACAAAGGAAGAAAGGACAGGCGTTGAGCATAACTTATCTAACTCTGTTTACCAAAGTAATTAAACAATATTGCATTTTAAAGATGCGTATGACCAAGATTATCTTGGGTAGCTGCTGATTTAACTTGACATGGTACGTTCTTCCCAACAGGTGCTTCCCCAGGAACCTTGGAGCTTTAAATTATGGTGACAGTTTATTTGTGTATTACCAAAGTGTTCTAAATCTCCCACGATGAGCAGCTGATGTGGCTGTATTGAATAGCCACCAACGTAATGTAAAAATAAAATCTCCATCAGGGACGTTTTTAGTCCAGCCAAATTTGATTTAAAGCTTCTCCTTTGCCTTGAAACAGTGTTCAGGAAAATTTCAGTAATTGCCTTAAAGATTTTTCTTTATAGCATGGAATCTATTTCTCATTGAGAAATACAGTTGATAAAGCATTTTCTTAACTGAAGGACTAGTGAATTTAACTGCCTAGATTCCACAGGAGTAAATTATGTTATAGGATGCATTTATCCTGAATTTGGGAAATAAAGGTACCAAATTGCTCTTAGAGTTTTTGGAAGCGCGGCAGGATGTTGTGTGGGCTGAAGCTGCCTGAACTTCCTTGGACAGCTGTCTTGGTACCCATCACATTGCTGCTCTCTTCCTGAGTTAGTAACATGGCAAATTATTCCACAGTTATTTAGAGGCTTTGAGGTACAGCTGTTGACAAAAGAAGAAAACAGCTTGTTTGTATCTTTCATTTTGTAAACCTTATTTATAGACTGATATGAAAGGAGTTATAGATCATGCCCTCCAGTTAGGGCTGGTCTCTAAAATGTGACTGCCAATGACTTTGGTCCTTGATCTGATCTTGTGGGGAAAACTTCCTCAAGAATAGTGGATAGGCTACAACCAAAAATTCTTCTGTGAGAACCTGCTTCTTCTTGGGAATGGGTGTTATCCTTGTTTATAAGAATTCTGCAGTAAAGCTGATGAACAGTTGTTATTAACATCTAAGGCTTTTAAGTTTACATACACCTGGTAGGTTTGAAGTTTCTTCTCTAGAAGTCTCCTAGTGTGTAGTGAAAAACCCAAGCTGTTTTCCATAAGACTGAGCAAAGAGGGGTCAGAGCACATAGCTGTGAAGCCAATGTTCAGGTAGCAGTTTCTATCTCATGAGCCTGTCTACTTCTACATCAAGGAGAAAAATTTAACCAAAGAATGATCAGACCCATTGAAGAGACATTGTGCCTAGAGATTCCATATTGCTGGGTGAAACCTGTTGCTTTCAGTAGCTCTGTATGAGCTGATTGTTTCTAAAAACATCTGAAATGCAGAATTTGATGATTTACTTTTACAATTTTCTCTCATGTTTACCCCAGGCTGTTCTTACAGGCTCAGTTTCTAGACCTTTTTTAAAAATTATAAATAATGTTCTCCTTCTTCAAAAGGGATAATAGTTATTAAAAAGCTGGCAGTTGCATATGTGAAAAATCTATATGCATCAACAGTCAAATTTCTGAGGAAAGTGGAAGGACTGTTCCTACTGGTGGTTCTGTTGTTGCAAGGATTGGTGTCCCGTTTTGGTTTGACTCATTTACTGGTCTGTTATGCCAACTTTCTTTTCAAAGTGTCAGAGAACCTTTTTGGACATATGAATATTTAACTACTTACAGTAGAGTATTTGGAGCAGAGGACATCTGAAAATAGATCCAAGCAGCAGTCTATAACAGTTTGCCAACGAGGTGATCCTTGCATAGACCTGTCTGAGTTGCAGCATAGGTGCCGGCGGCCAAATCTGGTATCTACCTTTGGCAGAGATCCACATGGAAGCACTGGGTTTGAGTAAGCAATTACACGGGTTTGAACTAGTCTGTATTTAACATGGGGTGTATTGCAGGAGAAATAGGAATGGAAATCTGAAGGAAAAGGCCTCTTTTCTGTTCTAAAAGTTAGATTCAGAGGGTGCCAGACATTGATATCAAATACTGTTGGAGCTGGGAGACACAGAGGTCATAGGCACTTTTTGAACAGGCATTGTTGCCCTGTCTCTGTTAGCATTTCCAACATATGCTGGTATAGCAAGACTGAGTGTATGCCTGGCTTGTTCTGCTAGTCTAATCCAGATTGTAGATTGCTAAAGATGGAAAATTTCATTATGTGCAGATGAAAATCCAGCATTGTCACTTCTACTGCTGTGATATACTCCCACCTATCCTGGACCATTCAGAAAGGGGGAATGGAGTCAAAGAGGAGAAATATGGCAGCTAGGTGCTCTGATAGTTATTAATGTAGGGATTCCTTTAGAGCTTCAGCTTGCCTGGAAAAGCTGTTTCCTTTGATTGTGAGCTTGCTTTGTATGCTGCACTACCAACATCGAAACAAAGTCTTTAAAAAATGGGATTATTTGGGCTGAAAAAGGAAAATTTTTCTTTCATCTCAACTGTTTTGGTTTTTTTTTTTTTTTTTTTTTTTTTAGTTTGTTTTACTAACTTAACCACAGCAACGTGTAGCCTTTTTCATTTTTCCCTCCTTATTAAATAATTCAGGGATTAAATATTTTTTGTGTTGATCAAGTTGACCAACTTGATTGGGTATGCAAAGCCTTTAATTGTGAGGAAACTAATCTGTTTTATCTGTCATTAATTACTTTCTCTAGATAATTACAAACCCTATTAAAACTTCTGCCTTGGGAGGTGGTCACCATCCCTAGAGATGTTCATGAAATGTTTAGATGTTGTACTAAGGGACATGGTTAGTGGGGAAATATTGGTGGTAGGTGGATGGTTGGAACATGATGCTGGAGGTCTTTTCCAACCTTGGATTTTCTATGGTTCTGATAATGAGCAAGTCAGCAGACAATATCCTCTGTAATTGCTGAATGTGACACAACTATTAATGCCACTTGAAATCTGTGAGCTTTCTCTTGTGATGATGGTTTCTTTTGTTATCTGGTTTTGTTGCTGTGCCCAGCTGGAAACAAAATTGTTTATAAGAGACCATACTGTTTTTCTGATGAAAATTATTCCATCTTCTGTATATCTGTTGATCTTTCTTTCGGAAAAGAAAGTACCTTCAGTTGAAGCAGTTTTAGCTGGAAGGGCAAACTCACTAAAATGTATGAGGAAAATCTCCTATATAGCACTGTGTTCAGTTTTGAGCCCCTGCCTACAAGTGAGACACTGAGGCCCTGCAGTGTGTCCAAAGAAGGTCAATGAAGCTGTGAGGGATCTGGAACGCAGGTCTTATGAGGAATGACTGAAGGTACTCTGGTTATTCAGACTGGAGAAGAGGAGGCTTGGGGAAGACCTTATTCCTGTCTAAACTACCCAAAGGGACATTGTAGTGAGAGAAGGTTGACTTCTTTTCCAAAGGTATTTAGTGTTCGGACAAGAGGACAATGCTTTAAATTGCTTCAAGTGAGGTTCAGGCCAGATAGTAGGAAAATTTCTTCTCAGTAAGAGTTGTGATGCATTTGAACATGCTGCCCAGGGAAGTGGTGGGGTCGCCATCACTGAAGGCATTCAAGAAGAGGGTAGACGTGGCACTGAGTGATGCGGTTTAGTGGGCATGGTGACAGGTCAACAGTTGGAGTAGATGATCTTCAGAGCTCTTTTCCAACTTTAGTGATTCCATGATTCTATTTTAGTAGTGTTTTTGTACTTCTATTTTATCTTGTATTGAATAGGCAGACAGAGGCCCTTTTGTGATGCTTCATCTCTGACTTCTGGACTTAATAGCCCTCTAAACGTCAAACTTGAAAGCAGTATCTTTAGCTGATAGCTGATCTGGGTCAGTTATAAGGGTATAAAATAGTTTATTTATTATAACTGTAACTTTATTATGATTTTTATATTTGTAGGATGAAACAATTGTAGTCTTGATGAAATTTCTAGTGAGTTCAGTGAAGTCAGGACACATTTTACAGGTCATTTATTAGCTTTAAACTCTTCTAGACCTGTTAATTATTCCAATAGCTATTGCCTCTAATGCTGTGCTTTTCAGGGCTTGTGGTAAGCTCCACAAATTCTAGTTACAATTTTGAAAGTCACTGACACTTAAAATTGTGACTGTGTTGCATTTCTTCAGGATTCTCTATTTGATGGAAGGATGCCCCAGACGTTTTCCAATCGATTTTTTCCTTCTCTTATAACGCAAAAACAGAGTATCTAACATAAAAATGCTTTTAAATTTCTATTCATGTATTCTTTCCATGTCTTTTTTGATTTATTCATTTTATGTTCCTTTTACAGATCCAACTACAAATCCGGCATATTCAGAAGAAAGATTGGCTCATGAAGCTTTGCAATTAGAGAAGCGCTTGAGCTTGCTGTCTCATACAAGTCGCCAGGGCAGCGGAGGTAAGTAACTTCTTTAATTAAATATAGGTGGCATTCCCTTATTTTCTAAGCTGTAGCAATGAACCGTGTATACGTAATTATAAGATGATGAGCTTTAGAGGAAAAAAATAAAATAAAATAATGGTCAACATGTTTCATTTAGGGTATTCTTGTCCTTGGCTGCTTCAGTCACTGCTGAGTAATGTGGTTTGTGACTAAATGCCACTGACCCTTGTGGAAGTCTCTCTTAGTTAGATAGAGCTACCAGACTGATGTAATATTGTAATATGATAGAAAAGCATGCCTAAGGTTTTTTTTTGTTTGCTTTTTAAATCCAGTCTCTGTGATCAGTTATGTGGCTGAATGAGAAATCACAAAGTGAGCTTTTCATATTCTGTTGAGTTCTGCACAGGAAAATTAAAGATTTGTGAGAAATTGTAATACCAAGAGTCTCTGTAGGTTTGGGAGGTCATTTGCGAATACTCTGAAGAAAAAAATCTTGCAGATTGTACATTAGATCTTTTTCTGTATAGATATGTAAATGTAGTAGCATTCTCACTTTTGTTTGTGTCTGTGTTGTATTATTGTCTTTTAGTATGGATATTATGGAGAAATACAGTGTAGAAGACAGCAGAGAACAGGACAGTCTCAAGTTTGATTTTATTTTTCTGTTTCTAACGTGTATTTCGATGTCATTCAGATAAGACTTGAGAAAAAGTACCACAACCTTCTGGTTCATTCAATTTCAATAGAAATTTTGAAATCTTTTATATGCTTCTGGATTACATTAACAAGTTTGTGAATTTTTTTTATTTTTTTTTTCAGAGCACCCTCAGCTATTCTGAAAGCTTGTGATGATTCCCTGTGATATAAGACTGAAGCATTTAAAATAAAGCTAGTTAACTGTACAGTAGTGAAACACATGTAAAAAGAGGAGAGCTGGCTGCATGAACTCTAAAAATGTAGTCCTGAATGCGGTGTATTACACAGTGTGGTAGGGTTGTGTTAAAAATATTATCTGCCCGTTATTTTTCCAGCAGAGATAGGGATAATTGCAGGAATGATGGCGTTCCAGTAGAAGATCCCTCTACAAAGCAGATGGAATATCAGGGTTCTTTCTGTGTGTACTGGCCCTGCTTCCAGTCTGTGTGTTGTGTTTTAAACATGGGCTGATCTCTTTTCTTCCTTTTTTTAGGAGATGATCGAAGTCTTTCAAGCTCATCTTCAGATACCAGCCACTCAGATGTTAGTGTTGGGAGCAGATTGACAATTTGGCCTGAACAATCTTCAGCCAGCACTTCGCAAGAGAGTCATGGACTGGCAGCTGCAAAGGGCATTCATCTTGGAGAAGAAAAGATCCATCCAGAAGGGGCACGTGGCACCACCAAACCGCCTCCAAAGCCCCTTCGGTCCAGACAACTGCAAGAGATAGGCCGTCAGAGCTCATCTGACAGTGGAATAGCTACTGGTAGTCACTCTTCTTACTCTGGAAGCTTCTCTTCCTATGCTGGGAGCTTGGACATCTGCCATGGCGATGAGTTTGGATCATTGCTTAGCCTGCCATTGAACTTTCCTTCGGATCAGAATTTATGTACTTGTCCTCACAGTGAGCCTCAGAGAGGTGTGGGATCAGAGTATCAGGTTCCCAGCTCTCTCAGACATATTTATGATATACCCAGGAGTTTGTTACAGGCAGCTGCTAAAGACGTGCAACCCAAGAGTGCAGATTCCACGCTACCCAAGGACCAGGCCCTGCCTCATGGTGCTAATGATCCAAAACTGCTCCTTCCACACTTAGAAGCACAGAGGGCACCAGAGCACAGCCAGGACAGAGGGAGACCGTCATCCTTACTCCCAGAAAGCACCAAAGACTCAAGCAATGAGGCGTGTGTGGATTTTGTTTCGAGGTGGTCAGATACAAAACCACCAGGACAGGTGTCAGACTCCAAAAGTAGTGAGTTAGCGCCACCTAGTGGAGCCTCAGCTGACCCCTATGACACATGTAGCCCCCACCTTGGGATGACAAGAGCTCTTTTTTCAGCTTGTCCAATCTGTGGTGGACTAAAGGTAAATACCTAACGCTGAGCAGATGCTAACAAGCCTTACTTAATATAGCATGGTTAATTTTAAATGGCTTAACTTACAAGTCATGTTATTGCCTTTATTATTTTAATTAAGGTAATTATATTTGTATTGTTTATGCTCAAGTTGAGAGGCTTCATACATTATTTCCTCAAAATCTATGCCTGATCAAGAGAACGCTTGAATAATATAGCCCATCAATTGTTGCTTTTAAATTGACCAATTTTTTTCTTTGAGTGTATGTGGATAGCTTGCAGTGACAGAGAGAGAAATTACAAAGGCACATGAGAGGGCTGAATTTGTCCCATAATGGTAATAACTTGGTATGGAGAACACTGGCCTGTCTTGCTGCTGGTATTTCAAAAGACAGAAGGTTGAGGCTATGTACTATGTGCTCCTCTTTGGAATGGCTGTAGCATTTTTTTTTTTTCTTCATGTTTTTCTTTATTGTTGTAATTTGTGAGCATATATTGCACAAGAAGAAGGCAGATTAGTGAAGCTTCTTACTAGGGAAAGAGAAGATAGTCTGGTCAGCATATCAGTCCAAGACAAATCACCTTATTGTATTTATAACTGACCACTGAGAGATGCTTTAGGGGATCTATTCAAAAATCAATTACTGATCTACTACTGGGCAGTGCATTTACAGGGAAAGTTATCCTTGATCACCAGTCACAGAAGACATGGAGGTTCATACGCTTTTCTAAACACATTTGACAATATCTGTAACTATGTCTTTATCCTCTCTAGAGTTCTTTCTGAACCCTGTTAAATTCTTGGCTTTTTATTGCAGCAAGTTTTCTGCAAGGCATGGAGGAAATATTTGTTTTTATCTATTCTGGAGAATACTTTATTTTTGGTAAATAAGATGAAGGTAAAACTGTCAGAGCTGCTGAAATGATGGTAAGGTCAGAGTGTGAGCTCAAATTAGGAATGTGTGAAGTGGGGATTCAGCAAAGATTTTTGTATGAAGGAGTAAATATTATGGTTCAATTGTGTATTTTTTTTTTTTTTTTTTAATTCAGCTGGTGGGATTACATAAATACTGCTATGAAAAGGACTTGAGTGTATAGGAAGCTATAAAAGAAATAAAAAGCCTTGAGGGGCAGTTTTCTTCTTATGGTGTGTTATGCATTTGCATCATTGGCTGTGTTCATGTCTGAAAACAAGAAAATCCTTTGTGCCTGAGGTGCTTGTGTAGCATCTGTCTCAGCAGTGTGAGAGGACCTTGGACATTGCCCTGTATTTGTGTCATTTGGGAGGCAAGAATATGCTTGAGTAGCAGGATAAGGTTGTGTCTACGTTCATTGTTAGGAACAGTGTTCTTCCAAGGCCATCTTTGCAAGCCCCCCAGTTTCATTTTGAAAGCTTGACTGGATGCAAGGGCTGAGGTTTAGCCTCCAGCTTCTGCTGTTTTTGAGCTGAGGAAAACAGTTTCTGCTGCTGGCTTTTTGTATCTGCTGTCTCAGTCAAAAAGAAGTGGAAAAGAATGCGTGAAAGCAATTCCTAGAAGGTCTCTACTCTGAGAAGAGCAAGCCCAAGATGGCTTTGTTGTAGCAGGGGAGAATTAGCTGGCATGGAGTCAGCTCACATGGTCTAAACGTTTCTGGGTGACCTCAGTTGTCACTTCAGATATGCATTTATTGAAACTTACCCTGGAAGTCTGTGGCAAACAGGCAACTGAAAGTAAGGATTCTATTAATCAGAACATTTAAAGGCAAAATTATGCTGTTCCTCTTCTAACTGCCTGTTCACTTCCATGACATACGCAGCCAGATCTTTTTATTTTTATATATATTTGTGTGTATACATATAAAAATATCTTTTTTTTTTTTTTTTTTTTTTTTTTTTTTTTTTTTGTGAAGAGCCAATAGATTTCACATTGATTCTAATTACCTATTAACATTAATTAGTAAGAGTGTCAGGAATAGTCGCTATTTAAGCAAATTTAGTGACAGAGAGACACTGATAGAACATTCTTACCGGCTCCATTTTTTTAATGGTGTTTTCACATTATGTGCATGCTTGTTTGTTTTTTCTTTCTTTTCCCTTTCTTCTACTTGACTGGAAGTATTTGGGAAAGAACTTTCACTAAAAGGAATGATTGGACTCGCTTTCACTTTGGAAAGAAAATGTAACTTTTAGGTATATTGTCTTAAACTGTCAAAATAAGTTCTTTTATCAGTATTTAATGGATGCTTTGTCTGGCTTTTCTCATGCTGAATACAGTGAAAGCACAAATCTACGTGATGTAACTAAAAATAATAATTGTTTCTCATGCTTTGATCAGAATTAATTTGAGATATGGTTAGGGCCAAGGGAAGTTCATTTATGAATTAATGAGACGCCAGGTTTCACACTGACTGGAATTCATGTTCAGAAGGCTTTACTGGGTCAGTGTTTGGAGTGCCTTTGCAATTTCAAATTAAGCTGTTAATTAAATTGTGGTGATGTTTTTTTTACATGCCTACTATTTAAAGTGAGTGAATAGCAGGAAGCCTGCAGCATGAGTAAAACAGGTAAGCCTTTGTTTGCTACCTTGGATGCAATCTATAGCAAATCAAGGTTAGGTTTGGGCATATCATCTTTGTTTTGGAGCTGAGAGAAGCTATGTGAAGAGCTGGAGGCAGGATGCAGGGTGATAACACACATGTGGAAGTGATGGTAGCATTGGTGATGGGGATTGTTTAGATTAGGAAGCACCTGCTGTGTGAGTGGCAAAGTTGATGATGAAAACAGAGGGATTCAAACAAAAAAGGAGAAGGAAGCCTTTCTGTTTCACTGTGGATGAAGAATAGCACAAGCATGAATGAAACTACTAAATTTTGCTTTTTTTATTTCTATATTGTATTTCATAATATGCGTTGGGGATTAATAAGCAAATATACAGGGTGTTTTGCTTTCTGCTGTATATGACTGTAGTGTGCACGTGATGTCCCTCTTTATAACCTTTGCAAGACGTGCCTTCTGCTATGCAATTTTTGCCTAGGTGATTTCAGTGCTATAGATTAATGCCCAGATGAAATCTGTGTGTATTTTAAGAATATTTTAAGCTCAGAATGTTGGATTGCTGTGGGATTTCTAAGTAAGCTACCAAGATTTATTATTAGACTTATTCAATTTTCAGCTACTTAGTTGCTATTAATTTGAGGAATAGCATTATACTGTACTGTTTGTTGCTCTGTAACTTCATTTGATGCTGTAGTTTGAGAAACTGTCAACACTTTTTATAGGGTGTCTATTTTTTTTTTTTTTATTTTTACACCACCACTGTTTGTAAATTTTCTTAGAAGTCTGAAAAATAAAATCCTTTTCCAACTGGTTTTGTCCTTTTCCATCTGACAAATACTGCTTTTCTTTTTTGTCCCCTGACCTTCACCTTCTTGCAATTTGAATTAATATGGGATGATTATGACTGTCTCTTCTTACTGCTCAGTGTTGTGTTCAAATTGCTGTTGACAGCTCAAAACGTGCCTTTCAGTAGAAATTTCTTTTATGTATTTCTGTCTTACTGTAAACTCATATTTACATTAGTTGGAGTTCTTATGTACAGACTTGTTTACAGTTTCAGTAGTTAATCTGTCATGATAGAGGAAAAAGGAAAGCATCAATTTGTATGTATGTCTTATTATCAAACTGCACTGGTATTCAGCCACCTGAATATTTTAGTTGATCATTTAAAAATGCCAAACTCTCCTTGGAGACAGTCGTCTTAGATCAGGAGCAGATCTACCAAAATCCTCTGTGATGTTTGTATGTTTCTACTGCGCCTCAAACTTTGTAGCACCCAGCGTGTCTGCAGAAAGCTGAAACACAGGAATGCTGTGGTCAGCATGTGTAGAAGAACTTATCACCATGTGTAGAAGAACTTAGGGACTTTTTTAGGTAGCAGAATCTACAGCTCTGAATGGCTAAGATCTCCCTATGCAGCACAGGGAGATCTGACACCTGTGCTGGGGGGATGTGGATTGCTACTTACATGGGGTGCTGCTTTGATTACCTGATAGGAAATATAACTCATTTAGTCTGTTCTGTAGAAACTGCTTTATTTTGCATTGCACTTTGCATGTGCACGTATGTACTGTGATCCTTGAGCAGGCACTTAGGCAGCACCATAGGTCCCTGCAGGGCTTTTTAATAAAATGCAACCTTTGCTGAGTGCGATCTGTGAGTAGACCCAGAGCTATGAATATCTCTGTTTCTGTTGTGCAACGTAGACCGGGGAGATGATGCACAGAGAAGGCTAGATCTGCTTTCCATTCTTGCCTGGACTGACCTAACCAAGTCTGTGAGCTGCCTGTGACTGGGTAGGGAATGCCACGTCAGCCTTCTAATTTTGCAGAAGACTCGAACTTGGATTTTCTGTCTTCGTTGTAGATGCTGCTGCTTTTGAGAGCAGTGAAGCCTAAACTTCTGTTCTGTGAGATGCAGCAGCTGCAGGCTACTTTGTTACATTTGTGTAACTGAGAATGGTCTCTTTTTTTTTTTTTTTTTTTTTTTCTTTGGCTTTTAATCAGCTAGTAGTATTAAAGTAGATACTTAAGCAACCACACTGTTGCTGTATACCACTAGCTTTGCTTTTCCTCTTGCAGGCATTACCTCTTTCTCCACGAGGTTTGAACATCTTATGCTGATCTTGCAGTGTGTTTCCTGCTTTCTCTTAGAGTGGAGGAACATGATTACTAATAATCACACACCATTCATATTTATTTTCAAAGGTTTTCTTTTTTTTTTTTTTTTTTTTTTTTTTTTTTTTTTTTTTTAATATAGATCTATATTGATGTGTGATGCTGTAACATTTTATGCCTCCTGTCACCTTCACAAAAAAGCTCCATGCTGTGTAAATCTTCGGCCAAGAAAGATGCATTTATAATCTTTTATGTTTCTGTTCCTGCTTGTACTTCTGTTTTAATCACAGAGCTCTGGGCAGTTAGGCAACTAACGCTGTCAAAACTATAAAAGGAACAGTTCACACCTCATAAGAA